GTGGAGAAGTTGCTGGTTTTGAACTGCTGACCCCGTGGTTAGCAGCCCAATGTGTTATCCACTAGGTCACCAGGTCTCCTTGTCTAGGTAAAGTGTATTCAATTGATAAAGTATCAACTCAGTAGTAGACTTAGGATTTCGTTTCATTGTGAGGGCCTCCCAGGAATGCCACAAATAGATGGCTTTGAAGAACCGAGATTTCTTTTCTCACAGTTGCAGGGACTCGGAGTCTTTCCCAAAGAGAGCGATACCCTAGAGAGCCCTGAAAAGATCCATAGGGTCTGCAAAAGCAGACATCCACCCTTTCCCCTGGATAATAGGCTGTAGTACCAAAGGTTTTCAACGCTAGGGGGTGCTGAGTAATACAACACATATATGTGTGTGTCTCTGCGTATAATTATTATTTTTTCCCCTGAAAAGTTGGTAGGTCCAATAAAGTTTGGGAATATGTGGTCTACATCAAGGTTGTGTTGCTGGGCATTCACGGAGTCCTTGGTATTTCTCGCCTTGTAGATAATCTTCACATGCCGACGTTTTTTTCCTGTCTGTCTGCATGTGGGCTATCTTTGATGATTCTGGTCTTCTTTGTAACTCTGGAGATTAAGTATAGGACACCCTGCACTGTCATGGCATTATTAAAATAACAGCAACAAACTCCAAATAGGGTCACCTCCACCTACTTTAGGGAAACCCAGTTCACCCAGAGCAGACACTGCTTGACCTCACTCCTTTCCATTGGACAGTTGTCCTTTTTGACTGGCTATTGTCTGTCTTCACTTGTCCTTATTGTACAATGGGTTTGTCTACTTCTTTACTTTAGATTTGTTAAAACCACAAACACAACAGTAGATAAGATGTGTACTACATCCCCTATACCTACCCTTTCAACGATTGACTTCTGTTTTTGGATGTTCTTAGCAAAGTTTCCTCCTGAGGAGGACACTCTCTAAGGGCAGGCCGGTGTGTGTTTGGCCCAGGGAACGGAGGAGAGGCTTATTGTGTCCTAGTTGGGGTAGATGAGGCAGTGATTGGAAGACAGCAGAGGCAACTGTGACTGGCTGAGTGTGACCGCACATCCCATCCCCTCAGAAAGATGCAGGCTCCTTAGCAGGTTAGGGCAGTGGTTCTTCCAGTGCCATTGGCAGAATCAATCTACAAGGACAGAGGTCCAGCCTCAGACCTTCACACACTAGTACTTGCTGCTGTTGAGCTAACCCTATTCATGTCACCCTATCTGTGCTCCTTATGTTCGTCAATGGCTGCTTTTGTTTTGTTTTGTTTCTTAATTCGATTGCCAGGTCTTTCTTTCCAGGCACCTTTGGGGGACTGGAACCAGCAACCTGTGGGTTAGCAACTGTGCACGTTCACCACCCCAAGCCTGTTGTTAGGAGCCATCGAGCCCCTTCAGGGTCGTAGGCATACTGTGTACCACAGTATGAAACACTGCCTGGCCCTGCACCGTCCTAAAGGGTGGCGGCTCTGGGGAGAGGGGAGTGACGTGTTCTTGTGATTCTGATTCACGCCAGTATTTGAGATTTAGAAACTGCTTTCGAGCCTGCTGGCCAGAGTCCAACAGTACAAGTTGGATCTTAGCACCCCAATGGAGAAGTTGGATGACATTTTGAAGTTTCTTAAATGATCCAGGTTTGAATACGTGTTTCCTTTGTAAAAAGAAGATAAAAATACCTAACTGATGAGATGAGGAGCTAGGAGTTGGGTTGCTAACTGCAAGATCCTGCTAGATCCAGGGGAGAAAGATGACGTATTCTGCTTCCACCAAGATTTACAGCTTTCGAAACCCTAAGGTACAGTTCTCCTCTGCCCTACAGGGCTGATATGAGCTGGGATCAACTCCGTGGCAGGGAGTTATCTGATAAGATGATCGTGAAAATGAAATGAAGTACTTCACGAAGGGTGTGTAGAATGGGGTCTGGCTCAGGAAATGGGCTGGGTAACCAAGAGCTGCTGCTGTTAAGAGAACTGACATCACCGAAAACTGATAATTAGCATTGATAAGGACCATGAAATAATCTTTGAGATTTCTTTAGTATGATGATCAGTTTAATAAATGCAAGTCTTCTATTTGGGGAAAAGTGTTTTGTTTATTTTCTTCAGGGAATCCAACGTGATTGATTGACTTGGGTTAAATCACTCCGTGTATCCATATGAAGCTATTGGCGGGTAGTGTATCTTGGAATGATTTTACAAACTGGATGATTCTCATTTGGCATTTCACCCCTCTTCCCTTTCAAAAGAACAGACATTCCGTTTGGGAGAGATTTGTTCCTGTGGGAATCTGTGGACCAGTTGGAGGTGGAGGGGCTTCTAGTTCGCCTCCTCTTCCTTCTCCTCCCCCTTTCTGTTTTCCTGTCCACAGTGTCCCCTTTGGGTTTTATCTAAATGGTAGTTAAAATGGCCTTGTAGTTTCTTCTCACTCCTGGTGACCCCACGCATGTCGGAGGAGGACGACTGGGCTTTCTCAGGCTTTTAGGGCCTGTTTTTTGTTTGTTTTAAGTAAGTGGCCAAGCCTTACTTCTGAAGTACCTGGATGAGCATGAGACTCTAACCTTTCAAATAGCGGCCACTCATATTAACCATTTATTTGCATTTCTGGACTCCAATTAAACGGTAGACCTTTGGCCAACTCATGAGCCATGGGTTCTAGCCCTTTCCTAGTTCCTGAAGGGTTGACCAATTTCCCATTTTAAGCACCCTTCTCCCAGGGGCAGTGTAAGGTCTAAGTGAGAAGGGAGGAGGGAGAAAAAAAAAAGAAGAAAAGGAAGGAACTGTGGCCTGACCATGGGACTCCTCAAGTGGAGTCGCTTACTTTCAATATCTGGTGGATTCGCTGCTTCCATTCTGTGATTTTAACGCTGTTAAGACAGATGGGCCTCTTCAAATTTGATGAGTCATACAGTTCTCAAAGGAGCCCTGATGGTTGTTCTTGGTTAGGCCTCATACTACTAACAGCAGGGTTGATGGTTCAAACCCACCAGCTACTTGAGAAAAATAAGGCTTCAGAAACCCTATCTAGAGTAGCTGTGAATCAGAGTCAACTTGGTGGCTTGGGCTTTGGGCTAAGCCGTTCCCTTGTTTCTGTTCAGGAGAGAGACATAGATGCCCTCCTCTCCCCTCATTTGTCTGAAATATCACACATTTTCAAAGTCAGAGCAAGTGCATGAGACGGAGAACATGGGTATGCTGGAGTAGTTCCGCCCTTGCGGTTTTGCATGGAGTAGTCATTGCAGCCGCTGTTAAACAAGAATCCAAGTGGAAAAGAGGACCTTTGCCCTCACCATCTGTCTCAAATGAAAATCTGAGTGGTCCGACTCCTTCAACACATTATGATTCATTTCTGTCTGTGCCGTGTACCCACACCAAGCCCAGATGTCTTCAGAAGGAACTTGCCCAGGATGTCGTCCTGCTTAAAGCCGCAGTCAGAGCTCACGGAAGCAACAGTCAAGAGATCAAATGAAGCATTGCGTTGGGTAAATCCGCTGCACAGACCTCTTTAGAGTATTGAAGAGCAAGGACGCTGCTTTGAGGACTAAGGTGGGCCTGACCCAAGCCATGGGATTCATGTGTCACATGCATGGAAAAAATGGACATTTACTAAGAAAGACCAAGGAAGAATTGACGCAATAAATTACGGTTCTGGCGAAGAATATGGAGAGCGCTGTGGACTGCCAAATGAGTAAACTTCTCTGTCTTGAGAAAAATGCAGCCAGGGTGCGCCTTAGTGGCAAGACTGGTGATGCTTAATCTCAAGTACTTTGGGCATGTTCTCAGGAAAGACCAGTCCCTGGAGAAGGACATCATGCTTTATAAAGTGGAGGGGCAGCAGGAAAGAGGAAGGCCTTCAACAAGATGGATTGACCCAGTGGCCGCAACAGTGGGCTCCAACAAAGGAACAATTGGGAGGATGGCCCAGGGCTGGGCAGTGTTTTGTTCAATGGTACACAGGGGTCACTATGAGTCAGGAATGATTTGATGGCGCCTCACAACTACAGTCTTTGGGTTCTCGCTTAATTAGGTGCCTGGCTTCTTTTGCTTCACATTTTTGCTCAAACCAAAGCATGTGAACAGTCTCTTGTAGGAAATTGAGCTGTGCAAACACTAGGAGGCCCCGGTGTGAGGTTTTCAGAACACTGAAAGATTATTCGGGTGTCAGTAAAGCTTCAGAGGGCTGTGGGTAGGCAGTTATTACTGAGTATGGGCTGAGCAGGTAAGCGTGCTGTACAAATGCATTGCTTCACTGAGCAAATAGCTTTTTGTCACATTCAGACAATCATTTCACTTAAAGGGTACACATCCCGTCTGCCACACTGGCCATTCGTGGGTGATGCAAATGATGAAGCGCCTCACTACGAACCAAAAGGTTGCCCTTCCGCCCTTCCCCATAGGCACCTTGGCAGAAAGCCCGACAATCGGCTTCTGAGAGGCCACAGCCATGAGAGCTTGGTGGGGCGCGGTTCTCCTGTGACACAGGCACAGCGTCGCAAAGAGTTGACGTGATGGCAGCTGCTTTATATATGAATTATTTTTTCCACCACACTCTGTTCAGTCTGGGGGTCTTGACTGTTTATTTGCTCTTGCTTTTCCTGGAGAGGGTTGTATCGTAAACAAACAGAGAAATCAACAGCTTATGGCCATTAGGTCGATGCCAGCTCCTGGTGACCCCGCGGAGCAGAGTAGAGCTGCCTCTGGGGGTTGTCAGAACCGCAGCCCTTTACAGGAGTAGACGGCCTGGCCTTTCTCCTGAGATCCGATTACGAGGGCCTGTTCCTAGAACACAGCCGGTGTTCTTTGTGCTGAAGGTAAAGTCGGTGTGCTTGGGAAACCTGCCAAGGTGGTGCCCACCTGCCTGGATTTCTGTGGTCTTTGTACATTGGGGTGTGTGTGTGTGTGTGTGTGTGTCACTGTTTCCCAATGGAACTTCCATTTTGCTGTCCGTGTGGTTCCCAGTGTGAACACTCTTCCCTTTGTCTTTGTCCCCTGAGGCTCAAAATGCCCAGCAGCTGCATGAACGGATCCAGTCCTCGAGCATGGATGCCAAGCTGGAAGCCCTGAAAGACCTGGCCAGCCTCTCCCGGGACGTGACGTTCGCCCAGGAGTTTATCAATCTAGATGGCATCTCTCTCCTCACCCAGATGGTTGAAAGTGGAACTGAGTAAGTGACTTCATCCAGACTCCTGAATCGGTCCTATTCGGACCAGCTCTGTAGAGATTGGCTACCTTCCTTACACTTCCAGTCTCTAGTTCGAGAGACTGGTAAGCCTGCTCGGGTCCAGACAAACTGGTTTCTAAGACACTCCCTGGGTGATGAGTGTAAAATTTAAGTAACTCTACACCTCACCCCCCTGCTGCCACCCACCTCCCAGTATTTCAATATTGAGAAATATTCACAATATACCCAATTGTTCTGATTTATGAGTAAAGAAAACATTAGATTATAATTTATAAGAGCCTTCCCAATGCTGAGATTGTAGTTCTACCACATTTCCCCTCTCATTTCCCTTGCTTATTCTCAAGAAAATTTTCTTCCCAGGGAATGTTTCTTCCCTGACTTACTGAAAAAAAGACATTGGGATACCCAATGTATGTCTCAAAGTACTAGACTAGATTAAAATGATTTCCCCTGAAGTAATTAAAAGATTATTTTATTTATTATTATTATTTTAATCATTTTATTAGGAGCTCTTGATGTAATTTTTTAATGAACATTTCAATGATTAAGTATATATCCTTAATTTTTAAAAACTAAACCCATTTTTTTATTGTATCTCTGATGTGCAAAAGTCTGGAAAGTGGGAAAATGCAAAAAGATAGGATTTGTGAAGTAGAACGCAAATGTTTTGAGAATGATAATGACAACAAATGTACAAATGTGCTTGACACAATGGATGTATGTAGGGATTGTGATAAGAGTTGTACGAGCCCCCAATAAAATGATTTTAAAAAGAAAAAGAAGAAAAGATAGGATGTGTGTCATCCAGAACTTTTGGAGACTATGATAGAAATGCAGTGTAAGTTTACTCTGTGAAAGTGTTTGAAAATCAGACGTTTAACTGTCTGGATTGAGGAGAGAATGCATGGCCTGGAACAGAAGAACTGGCCCATGGGGCAGTGGGGTCCAAGGAAAGACAAGGCCCCCTGGGGGCTGGTTGGTCAGTTTGGCAGGCTGTTGTGGTCTATAAGTAGCTCTAATGCTAGAAGTTGTTCCACTGGTATTTCAGACACCAGCAGGGTTACCATGATAGATAGTTTTTGGTAGAGATTCTAGACCAAGGGAGAGACCCTTTTTCCTGCCAAGTACTGATTGGATATTTGTTACATCATTCGAGGGCCAAACCAAAGTATCATCTTAAAACTTAGCGTGTTGTATGTGGTCACAGATGTACTTAACTCACCCTTAGTGTGATGTCTAGAACCGCGTCTCTTCAGTGAGCGTGTGGTGGTAGCTGCTATGATTTCATGGGCCTCATACAGCCCGTGTTTCCAATGTTCCCCAACCCAGTTCTCGCCTAAGACAGAATAGGAAGAAAGCCTGACCATCTACTTCTGGGAATTAGCCATTGGAAACGTTATGGATCCAAACAAAATATTGTCAATGAAACACAACAAACAAAATATTGCCATCTAGTCAATTCTGACACATAGCTCCCCTGCAGGACAGAGTAGCACTGCTCCATAGGGAGTCCAAGGCTGTATATCTTCACAGAAATAGGCTTTCTGATCTTTCTCTGGTGGAGTGGCTGGTGGGTTAGAACTGCTAACCTTTGGATTAGCAGCCCAACAGTAAACCCACGACACCACTAGCACTCTTACCTCGAATAGAGCATAAGACTATGCGCCCCCTAAGTTGGTAGGAATTCAGTTTATGAAGCAGTTACAACAAAAGGCTTAAGCAAGTCCCCAGTCATGGAGATGACACAGAATGGGGTGATTTTCCTTTCGTCCTGTTGCACACAGGCCTCCCTGAGTTGAAACTGACTCAATGGCAACTAGCAACAATTAGACATCGGAATTAAATCGGGCTTAGGAGCCAATTCTAAAACTCCTGAAGTTTAGGAGCCTAGAGGATGGCTCAAGGAATTCTTACCGGGCTTCGCCATGGCCATGGAAGTGGCGTGTGAAAGAGGTGTTTTAGTTTGATTTTGGACAGAAAGAGATGAACCTTGCTCCCTGGGGAGCTGCCCTACTCTTCAAGGGCTGGGGTGCTCCTGGTGTAGATTGGAGGTGTCAGGCACTAGCTGTATCTAGCTTTGAAGTGTGTGGAGCAAGAACTTCCCACGCTGCTGAATGCCAGGGCAGGGTTCACATGAACCTCTCCCTCCCTAACGGCTAGTGTTATACAGAGACTAATAGACTGTGAGCACTATTAGTGTTATACAGGCACTAATAGACTCATGGTGACCTCATGAACAATGGAACTGGACCAGTGGTGGGATTCAATAATTTAACAGTCTTTTCCCTGCTACAATGACCATTTTAAGAAGATTGAAAAATAACACACAATATGTTAAAAGGTGGTTTATGATTTCAACATTGTATGAGAACACCGCTGTTGCACAGATTAATGTAAAAAAAAAAAAAGAATAAGGAATGTAAATTAACGATTTCCACATTGGGCAACCGCCCAGCTGTTGACCTGAGAGGGAACCCTTGATAAAAGTGCCATTTTAAAAATCAGTTTGCTGAACTCACCCCCAAAAAAGTTAGGTATCCACTCTGCTACCCCAGGGCAACACAGCTGAATCCCACCACTGGATTGGACCCTAGGGACCCCTAGGGATGTCGGTGGGTGAGTTTCCAAACTTTGCACACCCGGCCCTCTTTCCGAGATGGCCTTACGCTAGAAACTCTACTGAAACCTGTTCAGCACCCTGGCAACCCACAGCATCCGCTGACGGAGGGGCGGTGACTGGGAATAAAGAGCGTGGGCTGCAATCAGGCCCCGTTTCCCACACGGAAGGTGAGAACGCTGCATCTGCAGCACCGCAGGCCCAGGGTGTAAGTTAGTGGTATTCATTCGCTAGTTTTCACTTGCTGAATCTGCGGCTTATACATCTAAGCATGGCTTCGTACCATGCTGTGTTCTGTGAAACAGGACACTATGTGCTTTGGACCTGTGTGAACACCGTATTAAAAACTGACCGGAGCCCTCGTAGTTGTCCTCATTAGCATCACTGCTGTTGGCGCACCTTGAAGAAATGTGCAGAGACTGAGAGGTGGCACCAGTGCTGAGTGAGGGAGAACCGAGCTTGTCCAGCTCTGTCCACTGTCCCACCCCCTGAGTAGCTGTAGCAGTCTGGGCCCTAAAACCCACACTACTGCCTAAGAGCCTGAGCCCAGAACTGTATCCTCTGCCTCAGCTGCCTGTAGCCCACCCATGAGCCCGTGCTGCAAGTGCATGCATCTGAGGTCTTAAAAACATTAGGGCAATATAAATATAAAGAGAGATGCCTTTCCTTTAAAAGAAAGGAAAAAAATAATAACCTTATGGGAAATAACCTTGTAGAAACATAAAAAAATAAAGAAATAAACTCACTGCCATCAAGTCGATGGTGACTCCTAGTGACTCTGTAGGACAGGGTAGAACTTCCCCTTTTAATTTCCGATACTGTAACTGTTTATGGGATAGAAAGCCCTGTCGTTCTCCTGAGGAGCTGCTGCTGGTTTAGAACTGTGGGCCCCGAGAATCACAGTCCAATGAGTAACTGCTACAATACCAGGGCTCCTCTAGACACACATATATATAATGGAAATTGTCCAAATGGGCATTAAGTAATGCATACCTGTGTGTCAATATGCTAAAACAATCGCTGTTTAAGTTGAGTATTTGTTAGAAAAGAGTAGTCATTGGGAATCAGGGTTTAAGTGTGGGTGATTTAAGTCTCTCTCCAGGACCCGGAGATAACAAAGAATGAACGGATGACTATACATGTTGGAGACCTCTCTCAGCCCACTCCCTTCCTTCCTTCCTTCCTACCTCCTCCTACACTTGGCATTGGCCTCTGCTACTGGCACTCGTTAAAGATTCTTGTTTTCTCATTCAAAGAGAGAAGGTTTTATAACTGCAGGGATATTTGCCATACAAGGAATGTTCGGTACTCTTTGGGGCCTACCTTGCTTCCTAGACAGACGGGAAATCTCTAGTAGTAAGTAAGCAAAAAACAACACAGAAACAATGTAATTCAGGGAGACTGGGGTGTAGGGTTGGATACTCTGGAAAGGGTCAATCTCATTGATGAAAACTCCAAACCAAACTCATTGGCACTAGGTCAATTCCAACTCACAGTGACTCGACAGGCAGAGTAGATGCCCCTGTGGATTTCTGCCACAATAGCCCTTTACAGGAGTAGAAAGCCTCCTCTTTCTCTCATTGAGCAGCTAGTGGTTTTGAACTGTTGGCCTTGTGATTAGCAGCCCAATGTATAACCCATGAGACCACCGGGGCTTCTTCAACAGTTGTTGGGATTGTTTGTTTGTTTTTTTTCCCCCCTTAATGAGAACTAAAACGTTGCCTTCCAGTTTTTGGAAAACATAAATTTGGAGGAGGGCTCAACTATGGGTCTATGGTGACTCAAACGCCCAGGCCAGGTGGGGAATGGAGGTGGGTGGGAGGGGAAGAAGTGGAGACTGAGCATCAGAATCTAAAGTGGTTGTTATAAGAGGAATCTGAATAAAAATGAGTGTAGGGGTGCAAGGGGTGCAGCAAAGGAAACAGGAAGGGGAGGGCCTGTCTGTGACGAAGCTGTAGACTGAAATTTAATATGGAGTCAGTCAGGCCCCTCTTTTCTTGTTCCTAGTCAGCTGTGGAGGGACATGGGTGTGTAACGATGAACACTTCTTTCACTGCTTACTTGGAATTACTTCATGTACTTGCCACACATGATGGTTGTGAGCCGCCGTGGTGACCATGATGGCCAGTTGATTGATGGTGGCCACACGCACAAGGGCACAGGTTGCTGCCCCGTCTTGCATCCTCCCCATGATGGGTCTTCTTTAATGGCTTTCAGATCACCAGGTCTTTCTTCTGCATCCCTCTTAGTCTGAACACTGCACTGACACTTGTCTATCATCACAGCAACACACAAGCCTCTGCTGAGAAAGAGTGGTGAATCAACATGAGGTGCATTTGGTCTTCCAGAGAGAAGGCAAACAGTT